TGAAATCATTTTGTTCATTTGGTAGGACATTCGTATGAGGCTGGTGTCTTTGCTCTCACTGAGTGGAGTGTGGGGGCAGGGGCTGTGCTAGGGGCTGCAGATTGGGGCTGCCAGTGGTGCTCCTTGTGGGAGGAGGCTCGTCAGAAAACTCCTGGCTGTCGAATGGCACTGAATTCCCCAAGCCCCACACTGCATCAGGAGGGAGTGGCTGGCTAGCCCAGGGTGAGAAGCGGCTTCCCCACTCCCTGCGTCCACTTGGGGGGTGAGCCCCGCCTCGCAGGTGCCAGCGGAGGGGTGGCCTAGCCCCTGAGCATGCAGGGGCTGGGCTCGGTGGTAGCTCGGCACCCAGTCCCTGGCTGGGATCTGGGTAGAGAGAGTGGCCAGCAGCATTAGGCTCCCAGATGCCAACAGCCCTGCCCCTCAGCAGCAGGACCCTGCAGCAGCATCCCTGCCTCCAGGCTCTGTCGCCAGCAGCCAGAATCCAACTAGCGCCCCCGCCCAGCATGGTCCCTAGCCCCTGCATTGGCTGCTTGAGCCGCTGCCAGATGAGCAGTGCATGGGGTGCACAGCCAGGGCTCCTTTCACCGTGCCTGCAACAGCTGCCGTACGTGTTTGTGCACATGTGCATGGCACCCCCTGTTCCCTTTCTATAAATTTTGATTGTTGCAAATGGAAATATTTTTTCGTTGGTCTGTGAGTATGAGGTGATTCAACGTTTATCGGCATTTAGTCATAAAAATTGAATCCTGCCAAGCCTACCCATGATTTATGTTTAGCCATTCTAGCAGAGTACTTTTTAGTTTACAAAGCAGAAAATGTAAATTTCTAATTGATTTTTGTTGTAGAGCTGGAAGAGGGCAACTTGAAATGTGTCTTAAGTGACTGGATTTACTGTTACATTGATCATTGTTTCATGAAATTTGTTCCAAAATACTTACGCTTGTAAGAGTAAAGCATTTTTCTTTGGAACAGGTTGACCTTTCAGAAGAATCTTGGTGTTTTATTGATTTTCATCTACTAACATTCTCCCTTTTACATTAAATAGCAACAATCAATTCATGTCTGATATAAATGTTTTCACAAATGATTTTAGAACTATACCGTTCTAAATGACAGTACGTTTCTTCAGTGGTTTTGAAAAGCATGTTGTATAAATTTTAAATCCTTTGTTCAGTCATGTGTGTTTCTCACAATTGGTCATTATGTTACTGTTTATAGGAAATAGTTTAACAAAGCATTAACATTAGTAGTGATCTCCATACGCATTTTTACCATGGGTTTTAGAATTACCTGAACATGAATTTTACTCGTTTAACTTTAATGTTTTTGCAGTATATCAAAATATGCAACTGCTTGTACTTGGAAATTATCTTCCCTAAACCATATCTGTTATTTTCTAAATAATATGGTGAAAATAGATTTAAAAGGCATGCCAGTCTAGTGTAGCAATCAAAATTTAAAAGCATCCTCTTCCCAACATGTCAAACCTCTCTGATGCAATCCTCATTTTAGGAATTATTTTTTTTCTGCCATCTAAAATAGGGTTGCAATGTTATTAAAATGTCAGCTCAACATGTTAGAGGTATTAGAATTGCTCGTTTTCAATTACCCTATCTTACTTGTATTTAGGGACTATTTCTGCCTGTAATTCTTAGCTGCTTCAGGGTAGCACTGATTGAGAGAGCCTCTGAAAGCAACACTATGGCACTTGGAGTATACAGGTACAGAGCTGCAGTGTGTCCCTGAAGAGCTACAGGTGGTGGTGGTGTGAAGGATCTCTGAGTTCTATTAAGAGTAATCTTGCTGTATCCAAAAGCAATATTAACCCTTTGAGCTAAGCGTGGAGATGACCATGTTTCCTCAGTATTATTTGTTCATTTATAAAATTGAGTTCAGTTGAATCAGCTGAATTTTGCAGAGAGCAAGATGTCATTACACAAAAAGTCAAAAGTTTAATTTTGTATTCATTTTTTTGCCCTCTCAGCTTAGTCTAGCAAATATTCTAATCTTGCATGAGATTTGTAAATCCAAATCTCCCTTTATACGGGCACTGAGTCACCAAGTGTTATGGCAGGACCCCAGTTCATAACTTTATGGTAGTAAGACAAGGGCTTTCCTTTAAGTTGTTGCCTTTTGTATTGCAGGCAAATAGGGAAGAAGGAACAACATTTTCCCCAAATAAAGACAAAGTCAGTGGGAAAGGAATGTATTTTCAAGATTCCACGCAGATAATACAAACAACGGAGAATAAACAAGTAGCTGATAGTCTTCCTTTTTCAGTGAAATAGTGTGCAGGTGCCCAAACAGTGACAATCTACTTACCAAATGGAAAATGGCAAAATCAGTAGGGAGAACATTTTTATTTTCAAGCTTTAGAAGGGTTATTACAAAGGGCAGTGGAAAGTTATTTGTACTAAGCAGTAACACAACTCCATTAAAAAATGTTTCTTTAATATTACTATGTATAATACTCTAATTAAAAGGTCTATGTATGTTAGGGTGATTAAACTTTGCAAGTACAACCGTTCAGCAAGCTGGAAGCTAGTTACCTTACTGGTAGGATATAAAATATTGTTTATAATAGGATATTTAAGGTAGTAGGGATAGTGACAACACATTCAGTGAGACTAAGACAGGCGTGTAATGTTATGTTTTCACTGCAAGGCTTTTTTCAGGGTGTACTTGATCCTTTGTCACCTCACTAATTCATACTAGGAGCATGCTGACACTTTGAGATGCAGAATTTGTTTGCAAAACATTTTCATCTGCTTTAATGAGTAGAAGGCTTATCTAATTTTCAGAGGAAGTGTTTGCCCTCTGGCTTGTTATACAAAGTGAGAATAACTAGGTGAGATGGTCAAAGTGAATTTGCTGTTGCTGAGCTGCTGAAATAAGCTGCATCTTGGCTTGTGTGGAAACCTTGGGATATTGTCTTGTAGGTCCTCTTTCAGCTCTTCCACCAAATGCTTGTTTGTAAGCTGTTATCTCAATTCTGTACTTAACTGCAAATTACGTACTTCATGCCTCAGTATTATGTCTTTTCCATTCTTTACTCTTTTTTTGGCTTTAAAACGTTGATGCATCAGACCTGCTATACTGAAAACAGGAATATTAAAAAGTTCATGTTGCATCATATGGGTCCTTCAACACTGAAGACTTTCCTACTGTACTATACTTCTTTATAGTTTTCTTTAATAAGTCCCACACCCAGTGCCTTGCAAGTTATGAGACTAACATCAAAAGGAAAACATCCGACTTAAATAGTAATTTCCACTGCCCTCAACTTGATCTCAACATTTCCATGATGTCCAAATTCACTTCTTAAGAAACTGGCACCTTGATGGATGTTTCTGAAAACTGTAAAGTTAAACATTAAGATGAGTGTGAGGATGCCACTGCCTTCATGCAGGCATGCTGTGTCTGTTCACTTTTATGGTTGAAATATTCTGCTTCCTTCTTTTTTTTTTTTTTTTTTTTTTTTGAGCTGCTTCAGGATTAAATTAATATCCTTGACTGAATCACTCCACAAGTAAATAACAGTTTTGTTAGCACCCGCTGTCCTCTTAGGATGATTTACTATTGGCATGGATAGGATACAAATTTGTTAGTAAAAATGGTATAATATATTGGCTTGAAATCCTGTTTGGCTTTTGTGATTGACTGTGTGGGGGATACAAGATGATGTGACCT